GAAAGAAAGAAGTGAGTCATTGCGACTCTAAGAAAAGAAAGAAAGAAAGCAAGTCATTTATGACTCAATGAGACCTCCACGGAAGGTATTCTATTTTACAACGAGTGTATTAATATATTTATAGTATTGCACGAGATTGCATTTGAGTATAGTATTGCACGAGATTGCATTTGAGTATAGTATTGCACGAGATTGCATTTGAGTATAGTATGCACGAGATTGCATTAAAGTATAGTATGACACGAGATTGCATATAAGTATAGTATTGCACGAGATTGCATGTGAGTATATTATTGCATGAATTGCATAATGAGAATGACTAGTCGAGTTCGTTTATGAGTATGATGGTTTAGTTGCATTTTGAAGTATTGTATATCCAGTTTACATGATGAGAACTTGAAAGCATGAAGATAACTTTTGTATGGTTTATTAGTATGAAATTACTTGTAAGCATGAGTTGCCTTGATAAGTTTGTTGTGATGTTTACGTGTTGTTGAGTCATTTGTATTGAAGCATGCCTGTTGATATTATAGGTTGCAAGCATATAGAAAGTATGTGATGTGACTATAGTTGCCTATGAGATGAGATTGTTATTTATAAATGTTATCAAAGGTTTTCCAAAGTATATTCTATAGTACTTTACAGGGTTGAGTGTGGTTATACTTAGCTTCGTGCTAACGGGTGTTTTCCTATTTGTCTATGTGTTGTTTGTAAAACCCCTTTCAGGTGGGCCCAATGTTGAGAAGTGAACGAGTTAGACTAGTTTAGTAGTTATAGAAGTCTAAACTCTTTATGTTTTGATTATGACTTTACTTTCCGGATTTTAGATTTATGTTGTGGATGACGTTTTATGATGTAGACTTCGGGGTGTCCTTTTTCCCCCTTATGACTTTCAGTTATTATTATGGATGTTAGTTATTAAATCTTTGTTTCTAGTTCTACCCTTAGCCTGTGCAATCACCACGGAGTGGTGGTTGTGGCGGTGACATTCCCACTAGTTATCTTATTAAGTTGTTTATTCGCTACTTACTTTATGTTAATGGTGGTTTAGAATTGTAATTAAGAGTTAGAAAAAGTGGGGTGTTACACATGTGATCTTTGTTAACAATGATTTTGAACAATGAGAAGTGATAGAATATTGAAGAGCAAGATTTGAGCACATGGTTAAGTATGTTGCTATGGTATTGCAATTTCTGGCATTAAAAAAAAAAAAAGTGGTTCACGGAGTTTTCTGTTCCCTGAAACATTCATGAGAGGGATGTTTTTGATAATTTTATATTTTGTTGTATGCTTTCATGCAAAACAATATTGTTATCACCATCTTCTGGCCACGAGTAATGAAATGGGATTACAAGAGAAGTCATGGCTGCAGAAAAGTGAAGACTTGCACCGATTTAACAATTTATGAGTATTCTTTATTATTGTTGATCAATTTAATGTATGATAATTCATAATCTTTTGAAAAATGATGTTGTATGAACCGATTGCTACAAATTTCTTGATGCACTGCTGAATATTCAGTATTAATGTGAGTTTTATTATATACATTAACCACAGAAACAATATTGATTGAGATGTTGTAATATAAACATATTTTAAGTTTAATTAAGGGTAAAGTAGTATATTTAAATTTAATTAAGGGTAAAGTAGTAAATAAGAAAATTAGCCTATTCCTGAGAACTCAGGAATAGGTTAATACCAAGGGAGGGAGGGGGGAGGGGGGGGGGGGGGGGGGGGCTAGTAATAGCTATTCCCCTTCCAAGGGTATTAGCTCATTCCCATGAACATTTTTCCTGGGAATAAAAAGCATTACCAAACAAAGGAATAGGTCTATTCCCGGGAATGCTACTCCATTCCAAGCCTATTCTACGAACCAATCATGCAATAAGAGAGTTGGGCTAGAGAATCATATCTTAAATAAATATCCATATAGACAAGTGGAAGCCCACAATATACTAGGAATTAAATCTCTTAGGGCAATTTATATCCTACACCACGGCGCGCGTTGCACTATGCGTCCAGATGCAAAACGACGTCGTTTTAATTATTATTTTTTTTTTGAAATTTCCCGCCCCAGTGAATGGTAGTAGTTTTTTCTTTAAAAAAAAACCCGATGTTCAAGAATGTACATAATGTTATACTAGAATACACATAATGTATATATGAATGTATATAATTATATAACAAAATATACATACTCTTTTTAAAAGATAATACACATAATCTAACATAATACATAATAAACATAAACTTTTAACATAATACACATCAACTCTTAACATAATACACACAAATTTTCTGATTCGGATGTACATAATTGTATAAAAAGAATGTACATAATTGTATAAAAAATACACATAACTATATGAACCAATACACATAACGTTGTGAACAAATACACATAATCTCAGCAACTTCCTACCGCGCCTCCCAACACTACCCTAAAACGACGTCGTTTTAGGAGGCGCGCGGCGCACAGTGCTATGTGCGCCATAGTGTAGGATATAACGATTGATCTCTTAGAATATATATACATATATTGGCTAGTTTAAGAAATTGGGCTCTTGTTATTAAAATATTCTAGAAAGTGTTCTTAATTAAAAAATTGGGCTTCGTATAAAATAGAATTTGTTCTAGAAAATAATAATGTAAAATGATTTTCGAAATAATTTTTTACGGGATGTCACATCAATTATATATTATATTCATTTAAACCTAATATAAATTACTTATATGTAGTGGGCATTGGATGTTGATGGTGATTTGTCCTCAATTATATGAAATCTATTGGTTTGATTCCATTGAAGGCGGACTACATGAGGACATTAAAGATATAATGGAAATGAAAACTTATGGGCCCGTTTACTAATAGAAAATTTTCTCAAATTTTTCACTTTTTTTTGGAAAACTAGAGAATTGGAGAATAAAAAATAGAAAACATGTTTACTAGCACAATTTTCTATTTTGAAAACTAAAAATAATTTTCCTGTTTTCTAGAGAACTGGAACACTCTTAAAAACTGTTTTCTAAATGGAAAACAGAATCATTTATCATCTATTTGGTTATATGTCACTATAACCACATTACAATGATTACATTCATTATCATCTTTTTTTACTTATCACTATCTTCTATCTTTTCTACTTATTTTACTCATTTAAGCATAACTTATTTGCTTACATTTTAAAGTTAGACATTATTCTATACAATGTTTTAGATTTTGATTGAACTCAATAGATTATTAGTTCAGATATTTTTAGTTATGTTATATCGTTGGGAAAATGACACTCCCCCCCCCCCCCCCCCCCCCCCCCCTTATGTTGTATACTTATAGCATTTTTTCCCCTGAATTATTCAAGTAAGCACATTAGCCCCCTCAATTATTCTAAAAGTAGCGGATCCCCCCCCCCCCCCCGATATATTAAATTGGCATTTCTACTCTTAAAGTCAACATTTTATTTATTTTTTCTCTAACAAATTATTGCGTATACGTAGGGATGACCACGGTTTGGTTCTAACTGAATCGAACACTATAGCAATCGAATTAAAAATTCAGTTATGGTTCAGATCCAGAACCCAATATTTGAATTTCAATTTATTAAAATTATGAATCGAAAAAACTGGATTCTGAACTGTGAACCGGTGGTTCCGGATCCGATTCGCGATTTTGAACCGTCTTTATTTTAAAGTTTTATTTTTTATTTTAAAATATTCTAAATTCAACAATAAATGTAATTTTTTTTCAGTTCGGAACATGAACCGGCCATTCTGGTTCTCAGTTTTAATAAATTCTAAATATCGGGTTTTGATTCTAAATTGTAATTTGAATATTTCAGTTTGGTTGCTATAGTGTTTGTTTGGTTTGAAGCAAATTGTGGTCATAATTAATTTGTTGGAGAAGAAAAATAAATGAAATATTTATTTTAAGGGTAAATATGTCCATTTAATATTTCAGATGGAAAAATAGCCACTTGAATAGTTTAGGGGGAAAAATAGCCACTTGAATAATTCAGGAGGGAAAAGTGCTATAAGTATATAACTCAGGAGGAAAAGTACTACTTTCCCTATATCGTAAATACAAGTTTGGTCCGGATCTCGGATATTGAAATCTCACATATATTAAAATTCAAAGTAAAAATAATATATATATTCATACACATGACATTCAAACGAATATATCCAAAAAATATTTTAAAGATCAACTCAAAAAATATTAATATTATCCAACCTAAATTTTAGGTGAACTTACTAGATTATTGGTTCAGATATATTTTTTAATTTTTATGTTATATACAGATATAAATTTTGTTCGGATATCAAATATAAAAATCTTACATATATTAGTTTAGACTTAAAAGTAAAAACAATTAAATTCATTCCATTTAAACCAAAGATATGTAAAAAATATTTTAAATATAAGATCTAAAATTCATTCGAAATTAAACTTATGTTAATTTTATAACGTTAATCTAAAAAAAAAAATTGAAAAAATAAGTGTTAGTAAACAAGTTTTCTAAACAAAAAATAGAGAATGAAAAACAGAGAATGAAAACTGAAAAATTAGAAAACAGAAAACAAAAAATAGTTTTCTGTTAGTAAATGGGTCTTAAATGTTCTTGTATTTTACAAAATTTAAGCAATTTTGTTTATGGAGGACAAAAAATGGTGATGCTACAATAATACTAGGACCAAATAGAGAAATTCTAAAAAAAGGACTAAAAGTGGACTGACACCAATAAATCTAAGACAACAAAATAGAATTAACTATATTAAAATTCTTAATTGTATTATAATTCAAATGTAGTGTGCCAAACAAGTTGGAACTACCGAATGCAGATATTATGTAATGAAATTCATGTTAGAAATTATTTCTGTGAATTTGTTGAAAGAAATGGATAAGGCAAGTAATTTAATAAAATATTTTTTCTCCTTCAAATTTTGAAAATATTAGCTTATTAATTATTTATTTCTTTTCAACTTTGTAGAGCTGGGAGATGTTGGGAAGATTACGCTACAATCAATAAGAGATTGATGAAGTGAGAGACACATGGTTCAAGTATCTTATTGATAAATGGGTTAATACAATACTTCTTTAGTATATAAAATAATTGATGTTGATAATTTTAGTTTTAAATTGTTATTATTAATTACTATCAATTGTGGAATTTATTAGTTTGGTTAATTGTGAGATTTATTAGTTTGAATTCTGAGATTTAATAGCTTGATCAATTGTGCGATTATGAATCTAAAATTGCACAGGTCTTGAATGTTGATGTGAATTCTATATCTGTTTTGATTTTTTTTTGAAAACACACACACACATACACACACACATAGTGGTTCTGGTGCGAGAAGACCACAAGTGAAACATGCAGATAAATCTCAGCCTTAGATTAAGTGCTCCTTAAAAAAAATTCGCCACCTATGATCTTCAACAATGTGCACTGAAAGACAAAAATATGCACTGAAAGGTACAAAAATGTGAAACAATTATTGAAAAGACTAAATTTAATATAGGATATTCAACACAAATCATAAACGACGATAAATAAAAAAAAATGAGCAAACAAGATTCAACCCAAATCAGCAATTAGCTTAGTGATCAAGATTAACTTATCTTTAAAAAAAAAAAAATAGTTTGCCACATCTGGAAGGCTCAACAATATGTAGTACAAGGCAAAACAATATGCACTTCGAAGGCACAACAATGTGCTTTGGTAGGCTCGACAATGTGCTTTGAAAGGCTCAACAATGTGCTTTGAAAGGCTCAACAATGTGTACTCTAAGCTAAAATAATATGCACTTCGAAGGCACAACAATGTGCTCCGAAAGGCAAAATAATATGCTCTGGAAGGCACAACAATGTGCTCTAGAAGACTTAACAATGTGCTCTAGAAGGCTCAACAATGTGTACTCTAAGGCAAAACAATATGCACTTCGAAGGCACAATAATGTGCTCTGGAAGGCTCAACAAGGTCCACTGGAAGAAAATTAATGTGCTCTGAAAGGCACATTAGTGTGATCTGCAAAGCACAACATTGTCCTCTAAAGGGTACAACAATGTGCTCTTCAAGAAGGAAAAAAATGTTCCGAAAGAAAAAAAAAAATTAACTTACTTACGCAAAATTACCATAACCCCACCACATTTTTTTAAATAGCTTCATTCTGACTCTTGATTTGGACTGAATCAATAGATGAGATTAAATCCTATTTTTCACCTAAGAAAACCTTTTATCCTAATCCGTTATATATATATATATATATATATATATATATATATATATATATATATATATATATGTCGATTTCTATTTTATTTTTAAAATTTAAAAATAAATACGTCAATTTAAGATAAAACCGACGTCGTATCAATTATAATTTTTTAACAACATACCACGTCAATTATTAAGAAATAACTAACGTGGTAAGGTTTTCAAATTAAAAAATAATAATTTTAAAATAACATACCACGTCGGTTGTTAAAGAAAATCGACGTGGTATGTTTTTTGTAAAAATAAAAATAAAAATACGTTGGTTCTATAATGGAACCAACGTCGTATATTTTTTTTAATTTTTTTTAATAGGATACCTCGTCGGTTATTTTAAATAATCAGTGGCTTGTGGTCCATTGGTATCGAATTGTTCCCCTAAGTGGAGGTGAAAGGTTTGAACCTCAATTGAGGCAAGTAGCGTGTATATGTAGGGTATCCCCCTTCCTTATAATATATATATATATATATATATATATATATATATATATATATATATATATATATATATATATATATATATATATACGACGTCGATTTTTTTATAACCAATGTTGCAGCATTTATTTATTACGTCGGTCGGTCAAAACGACGTTGGAAAAAAATCAACCTCCTATGTTCCAAAATAATCGATCTTAAAAGTGTTATTTGTAGTAGTGGATGTTTTGATACACACAAGAAATTATTGTTTTCTTCTTAAACAAAGTCACTCTATCCTCTAAAATTTTGCTCACTCTCTCCTAAATCTAGTGTTCTAATCTAGTTAGTTTGTTGATGACATAATAGTTGGAGTGGTCAACTATTATGTCGTAAAGTCCGTTTTATCTTGAAAAAACTAGGTTACAATGTTTATAGTACCTCTGAGATGTAACTGTTGAGCATATAACCACTAATGTACAATCCAACTATCAGCTTAGGCTTTTAGTTGAGATGGAGCACATGCTTCAATTTGGTATCAAAGCGTCCACGTGTTGTTTGGAACCCACCGCACACGTGAGGGGGCGTGTTGAGCATATAACCATTAATGTGCAATCCAACTATCAGCTTAGGCCTTTAGTTGAAATGGAGCACGTGCTTCAATTGTAACTGTTGAGTTTGTCTCATATATGGATTTGGAATAAGTGTTTGTCTCATACTAGGAGTAGGAGTGAAACGGATAGACCTATTGTATAGGGATTGGATGCCTATAAATATATTGGTTGTATCCCTAAAGGGTGTGTCACCACTATCACCATCACTATGAATAAGAGAATCGTTTCACTCCCGTGGATGTAGGCATTTTGCCGAACCACGTAAATCTTGTCTACTTTACCCTTTTTGCCATTATTATTGTTTCTTGTTCTTGTTAATCTCAACAAATTGGTATCAGAGCACTGTTGAGATGACCAGTTCAAGCACAAAATTCGAGGTATCAAAATTTGATGGTACAGGGAATTTTGGGTTATGGCAATGTAGGGTAAAGGATTTGTTGGCACAACAGGGTCTTCTGAAAACTTTGAAGGCGGATAAGCCAGCTAATCTGGAAGAGGAAGATTGGGAAGATTTGAAGGAGCGTGCGGCAGGAACCATTCGGTTATGCCTAGACGATGGAATTGTGTATCACGTTATGGCCCTGGAAGCCCCAAAAGAAATTTGGGATAAATTGGAAACTCAGTTCATGGAAAAATCTCTAACGAACAAACTGTATCTAAAGCAAAGGCTTTATGGGCTTAAGATGGAGGAGGGTTCAGACTTGGTGCATCATATTAATGTCTTCAACCAGATAATCTCAGATCTGGCCAGGCTTGATGTCAAGATTGAAGATGAAGACAAGGCGATGATCTTGCTATGTTCATTACCTTTTTCCTTTGAACATCTGGTGACTACTCTAACATACGGGAAAAGCACGATTAAATACAGCGAGATCTCTGCGGCCCTGCAGGCTCATAATAAGCGCTTGCAGAGTGGATCGTCTGTTGGTGAAAGTTTGTATGCTAAAGAGGGTCAGGATCGTGGAAGGAAACAAGAGAAGGGTAATTCTGGGAGGAAAAACTCTAGGTCTAAATCCAGAAATAGCAGGAAAATTCGGTGCTACAAGTGTTATGGGATTGGGCACATAAAGAGAGATTGTCCAAAGTTGAAAAAACAACAAGGGGCGACGAACGTGGTGCATGCTGATGACTCAGATTATAGTGAAGGTGATGTTCTAGCAATTACAAGCAACAAGTTTGAACATTGTTTGGACTTGTTGGATGTTTCTAGATGCTAGATGAGAAAGTGGTGAGGGGCGCTGTAGTGTTGGGCAGCGCGGATACCAGGAGGGGTCGTGGACCTGGTATCGGTATGGGTCGATATTGGTATCGGTATGGGCCAGTATGGCACTGGTATAGTGGTATGGGCCAGTATGGCACTAGCATGGGTCGGGCTTGGCATAAGTCACGGCTGGTATGGGAGGACTTCTCGGGACGACGAAGAAGTTCGTGAACATGCACTGGGAAACGTTTGATGCTGCATTGTGCGTGTTGCTGGCCAGTGGTAATTGCTGGTTAGTGGAGCATTGGGCAAGACACACGGGTTTAGTGTGACTTTGCAGGGGCGCTGTTGTGTTAGGGGCAGCGTGGATACCAGGAGGGGACATGGACCTAGTATGAGCCGGATGCAGGAGGTCAGCTAAACGAGACAGTTAGCATGAGTCGCGGCTGGTATAATAAGTCGACGGCTGAGGGCGAATGGCTTGGGATGAAGCAGTTCGTGTACATGCACTGGGTAACGTTTGATGCTGCGTATGCATGTGGTTGGCTAGTTGGGATGAGCATGGTTGTTCCTACCCATGTGTATATGTGAGATAAGTTTTTTCTCCTAAGGGGCATAATTGTGAAGGTGGAGATGTTGAGATAAGTCTTTTCTCCTAAGGGACATATTTGCTAAGGTGGAGATTTGTTGAGTTATCTTTTTCTCCTAAAGGACATATTTGCGAAGGTGGATAAGTCTTTTCTCCTAAAGGGCATATATGTGAAGGTGGAGATGGTGAGATAAGTCTTTTTCTCCTAAAGAGCATATTCGTCAAGGTGGAGATTTGTTGAGTTATCTTTTCTCCTAAAGAACATATTCGCCAAGGTGGAGATTGTTGAGTTTGTCTCATATATGGATTAGGAATAAGTGTTTGTCTCATACTAGGAGTAGGAGTGAAACGGATAGACCTATTGTATAGGGATTGGATGCCTATAAATATATTGGTTGTATCCCTAAAGGGTGTGTCACCACTATCACCATCACTATGAATAAGAGAATCGTTTCACTCCCGTGGATGTAGGCATTTTGCCGAACCACGTAAATCTTGTCTTCTTTATCCTTTTTGCCATTATTTGTTTTTCTTGTTCCTGTTAATCTCAACAGTAACAAATAAGGTTTTAAGGAAAATATGTGTTCACACAACTCAACTTTTTGCCGGTTGTTGCGGTTCGGTTCACGGTTCATAAATAGCATGAACCGTAACCTTAACCGTTAATATATGGTTCCTTGGCGATTCATGAAGTGACGGTTTCGGTTCATGAATCGACGGTTCACGAATCACAAAATATAAACCTTAATCTTAACAATAGTTATTAGGTTCAAAACTTAACTGTAACTTTTTTATGCGATTAGCCGATTAAGGTTTAGGTTCAGTTCAAATAGTGTATGGTTTGATTTTGACCTTCCAATTGAATTGAACTGTCACCACCTCTAACTTTTGGCTTACTAAAACCGTTCAATTTTTGCTTATACTTAAAAATAATTCTACATTTTTCGTATAGCAAAATGGTTCTAGTTAACTTCGCTTTTCCGCGGGTTGGACATGAAATCGTCACAAGATATAAAAAATAATTATAACTTAAAAAAATCTTAAATATAATTATCACTACGCATAAATAAAAATGGAGGACGTTGGTTGGAAAAAGCAGGCAGAGGGGTGGTTGAAGCTAAATGTTGACGGGTGTTGCAAAGAAGTGGGCTGTATGTGACGACGATCATTATTGTGTGGACCATATTTTGTATACGGTAAAATAATGTACATTCAGTACAAAAATAATGTACATTCAATATAAAAATAATATACATTGTATTCAATAATTTGGCACCACATGGGGAAGTGGATAAGAGGTTTGACTC